TAGATGTTTCTCATACTTTGGACATGTTGTCAGGAGGGACCAGTCCTTGGAGGAGGACATCATGCTTAGTAAAGCAGAAGGTTATGAAAAAGGAGACCCTCAACCAATGGACTGACACAGCTAAGTATACACCAAGTCAACAGTTTCTACATGTACAATTTGCTGCTAATGATTGCGTTCTTCTAGGCGTGCACCCATTCTTACTTGCTTTTTCTGAATGGTTCCTTCATTATTAACATATATAATGTGTATGTTAATATATAATCTTTTGAGCTGCTGTTGTCAGTTTGATCCCATATAGATAGTTCTTAAAGGTGCGTAATGCTCAAGGCAGACATTTTTTTGCTAGTTAAATTACTGTATTGTTGGGTTTTGAGATAAATTTGGGAGATATTTTTAGTTTAATGTTTAAAGATTATTTCAGGACAATAGTTTCAGTGTTCAGCCACCCCCATAGGGTTTCCTAGGCTGTAATCATTTTTCTCTCTAAATGTTATTTTGTAGTTAACTGTTAAAAAATATACACAGTTAAGTATACACCAAGTCAACAGTTTCTACATGTACAATTTACATTGCAATTTGCATTCTTCTAGTTGTGCACCCATTCTTACTTGCTTTTTCTGAATGGTTCCTTCATTATTAACATATATAATGTGTATGTTAATATATAATCTTTTGAGCTGCTATTGTCAATTTGATCCCATAAAGATAGTTCTTAAAGGTGCGTAATGCTCAAGGCAGACATTTTTTGCTAGTTAAATTACTGTATTGTTGGGTTTTGAGATGAATTTGGGAGATATTTTTGGTTTAATATTTAAAGATTATTTCAGGACAATAGTTTCAGAGAGGTTCAGCCACCCTCCATGGTTCTAGAAAATCTAGGGTCCATGAGAATTTGACAATCTGTTATTGTCATTTCCTCTTTTTTTTTTTTTAAATCAGAATTCTTTTATGGAATCTTGATAAAAATGTTCAATAAAATAGAAACGGGGCCACATCCAGCTCTTCTGGTCTCATGGTCAAGCCGGCAACAACTCACGAAGACAATTCCAATCACCAGTCATACATTCCATATCTTCTTTTTTAATTACTGTCCATCTTCTTCTGTTGTTTCAGCAGATGAGAAACCCAATTGTTGTGCCTCGGATGGCCACTTTCAAGCTTTTTAGACTGCAGTTGCTATGCAAAAGAGTAGGAGGTATAGAATAGAAGCACTAAACACATTATTAGGCTAATTAACTGGATGTCCCATGAAACCAATACCCAAACCCTCCAAAACAAAGCAACAACCTTGAGTATTTTGTTGTACATATCAGCTACTGGTTTTTTTGTTTGTTTTTTGTCATTGTTGTAAATATATCTATCACACAACTTTTACCAATTCAGCTTATTACAGGTATACAAGTTATTGACATCAATAATAATAATTGACTGTGGTACAGTCCTGGTGTGGCACTGTGGATTAATGCACTGGACTGCAGGGTCAGTTTGAACTGCAATGTTGGCAGTTCAAATTCACCAGTCACTCCTTGGAAACCCTATATAGGGTCACTATGAGTTGAAACCAACTCAAGGGCACTTAACAACAACAACAATTTTAACCTTCCTCGTCCCCCTTCATTTTACCCCTAATAACCACTAATAAACTTTGGGTTTTTTTTATCTTTTTATTTAACTGAGGTCATACAATATTTGTTCTTTTGTCATTGGCTTATGCCAATGATTTCAAACTCCATTGGTAAAGTTGCATGTATCAAGACTTCATTTCTCCTACTAAGTAGTTTTCCATTGTATGTATATACCTTATGTGCCTCTCCATTCATTTGCTAATGGAAATTTAAGTTGTTTCCACCTTTTGACATTTGTAATGATACTGCAATGAATATTGAAGTGCAAATTACTTATTGAGTCTCTGCTTTCTTTTTGGAAAGTCTCTGGTGGTAGTGGTGATGGTGGTGTGTGCCGTGCAGTATAGCGTTTCTGAGGCTGTAAACTTTTACAGGAGCAGAAAGCCTCATCACTCCCATGGAACTGCTGGTAGTTTTGTTCTGACCTTGAGGTTAGCAGCCTGATTCATAACCACTACACTACCAAAGTTCCTTTGGGTATATTCCTAGGAGTGGAATTGCTGGGCATTTTGCTAGTTCTGTTTTTAGTTTGTTGAGAAATTAACACATTGTTTCCCACAATTGCAGTATCATTTTGCATTCCCACCAGAAGTGGGCTGTTGTTGTTAAGTGCTGTCGAGTCTATTCTGACTCATGACAACCCTGTGTAGGGTTTCCGAGGAGTAGCTGGTGAGCTAAAACTGCCAACCTTATGGTTCAAACCAACCTTGCAGTCCAGTGCATTAACTCACAGCACCACACCAGGACTCCACCAGAAATGGATAAGGATTCCAACTTCTTCACATCATCACTAAGATCTGTTATTTTCACTTTTTGTTTTGTTTTTATCTTAGTGTAAGTGAAATAGTACTTCGTTATGGTTTTGATTTACATCTTTCTGATAGCTAATGGCATTGAGCATTTTTTCATGTGTGTAGTGGCCATTTGAATGTCCTA